AAAAATAGCAAAAGGGGGGGGGGAGAGAGAAAAATAATAGCCACCCCGCAGGGCTGTGAGAGTCAATGGTATCCCAAGGCAGAGTGGGGTGGGGGAAGGGCTGGGCGATGAAGTCCCACGGAGGGGGGAGGACCCTGTGTGTGTGATTTCGATTGAAGAGGAATCGAGGCAGAATGTAAAAAGCTGTTACTAAGGGAAGGAGCCAAACGGTTCGGAGCAGCCAACGGCTCAGACACTCCGCGCTGGGGAGAGCGCGCGCGCGGTGGCCAGCCGCACAGAAATGAGAGAGAAAGAGACGGGCGAGGAGCAGAGCAGCAGGCCCGGGCGGCTGGTTGCAAAAGCAACCACCAGCCTCCAGCCCAGCCATGGGGGAGGGGAGGGGAGACCCTCCTCTTCTCACACGCCCCCCCCCCTTCCCAGGCAATATGGCCAAGGCAGGGCTGCTTTTCAGGATTCCGCAGGGGCCAGCCACATGCTGCCTGGGAGCAGGGTGGGTGGGATCCTGGGGTGCCAAGGGAGATACCCGCCTCTCCCCGCCGCCACCTTCCCTGTCATATGCCTTCCCAGCCAGCTGCACAGGGCCCTCTGGCCAGGCTCCTTTATGATTAGGCACACCACCCACCAGAGGGGTGAGGGGCACCCAGGGCGAGCCCTGCTCCTTCCTGCCCCAGCTTGTTGCGTAAGAGGTGGGCAACAGTGCAAGGCGGGCACTGGTTGATTATTAAGAATATATCGTAGCAGCAGCCTGCAAAGCAGCAGCAGGGTGAAAGCGGGAAGGACACGGGTGTCCAGTACAGTGAAGGGAGACCCTCGCACTTCACACACACACCGCTTGCAGCAAGCTGTATCAAGCAATATTGCCCAGGATTATTACCAAGACCATGTAAAGCAAAGCAAGCAGTGTGCACAGAGGGGAAGCATTCGGCAGAGACCCTCCTCTGCTTCCAGGAACACATGCAGTATACTCCCCAAGGCCTGGCAGCACTTTACACTCAGCCTTATTGCCAGGTGTTGCCTTGTTATGAATGATGTACAAACCAGCAGCAGCCAGAAAAACAAGCAAGGAGTGGGGGTGGATGCTGGGATTCCAGTATTGCATGAGACACCTTCCCTTAAGACCATGCATGTACACACACACACACACGCACATGCACCCAGACACCCATGCAACAGCCTGCATCGTAGGGCAATAATGCTGGGTAGTGTGGTTTTATTGTCAATCATCTTTTACACACCTCCAGAACATGTTTCATGTCCAATGCATTTCCATAATATTGGCATTTAGCATGTATATAATGCTTTATTTTAAATACTTTTTCTTTTCTTTTTTAACAACAATGGTAGGCCTCCATCCTACAATTGGTTCTGAGTGGGTTAACTCCAGAGCTCCACCCATGCTCAAGGGAACACCTACGTAGACCAATTGCATTCAGGGACTGCTTTCTTTTTCAGAATATAAAATGTCTTATTGATAATAATGCCATGCTGTTTGTTTTAGGACACTTTAATACTATTTAGCCTTTATGTCACAGGGTTTTAAAGCAAGCTTCATTAGTGTGAATCATATTTGTTTGTACACAATGCTTTGCATTTTAAAGTGCTTTGTGGATCACACTTACAGGCCCTGATTCAGCAGTCAAATTTGCACGTGCAGACGCTTGAGCCTGCACAAAGCCCTACTCCCTATA